AACACTTCCAACTCCAAAGTCATTCTGAGGTGGGACCAGGTGCACGCCTTGGAGAACGAGTCCGAAGTCACGGGATACAAGGTGAAAAGTGGAGAGATTCACATTTTGCTGTAAAGAGGCCTAGGAGGAATCACAGTTAAGATGAAGAGTACATAGTGTTATACAGACTTATAGTCTTCATAAGGCTATAAGTCTCCATTTACATAATTTTTAAGACTATTAGCGTATTGTGTAGTTACATTAGCCTGTAAGTGCATTTATGCTCTTTAACTCAGCTGGTAAGCAGCATCACTAGAAAACAACTGTAACAAATCATCATGTAACTCCGTTTAAAGAGAAGGCAAATGTTTTCTAGATTCGTAATATTAACAACAGCTGGTATGTTTAGGTGGTTGTTTTTCCTTTCTAAACACTCCACATGTTGGTAATATGTGATTTTCATTTTTAGCCATGAGTTTTCTCCTTCTTACATCCAAAGAACATTAAACCCTCATGTTAAAGAAATTTTCAGCTGACCTGACAGTATCCTTTAATACCATTGCATACGTTGACCTCACTGGGGCTCAAAAGCAAGGAAACTCAAGAGACTCGAGTGGCATTTCAAAAGGCAACATCTGAACTCATGCAGCAAAAGGTTATGCACAGAAAATTTGCCCTGCACAGGTTAAGCACAGGGAAATACAGCTGTAAATCTTTAGAAAAACAACTGGAGACATTTTTTTTGAATGATTACTAGATGCTTAAAGTCTGGGGATCAACCGCAGTGACAAGTGGGGTTAGAAACGGCAGACATGGGGAGAAGCAGCGGGAGGCAGGGGTTGGCGCGAGGCCAGAGCAGGCAGGAATAGATAAGACCGAGACATAGTAGCAAGAGCCAGAAAGACAAGACAGATAAGTATTTCATGTTAAAGCAAGAAACCAGAAAATATTTATGAGTAAAAGGATTCATGCTCATCTTCACTCTGTAAAATATTGACATATGGTACAAAATGTTGTCTACTATAAAGCCACGGCATTTTGTAAGATATGGAGTCACTGTGATAATAATAAGAATAGACCGGAGAAATGGCGCAAACAAACTAGAACAAAATTAAGTAATCTGAAGGTGGACTTAATTTATCAATATCCCAATTAAAATCTAACGAAGGATTTTTATCTGGGAGTTTTGTTCACGTATAAATTCCTGAAATCCACTTTGTAATCCGTACAAACTTCCTTGGTCTAAAATGAGAAATTTCTATCTTAACACATTTCATCATCAACATTATATTATCAAAAAGCATTAGGATGTTGGAGGATTTACATTTATTAATCAATTCAGGGTTATCTATATCTGCAAGTGAGTGAATTAAGAAAATAGATTTCATTCCCCATTCGTGACAGTTCTGGTCTTGGTTAAATATCTTTCAGTTCAATTTGCATAGCTCCAAATTACAACAAAAAAAAATATAATAATAATGTTAAAGTTCATTACACGACTTTAACATCCAAGTTGTTCAAATTAATTTCAGGTTTATTAAATTATTTTTAGTAAAGTACAATCGTATTGTCACCAGCAACTGCATACAGTCCAGCTCAGTGTTAATGATGATAGAGTAAAATCACAGCCTGTAGTTAAAAGCCAGTTCCATAGTTACTCACTTTGCAGCAATCCTGTGTGTTGATCAAGCCTGTGGCGACAGTGGAAAGGAATTGTCTTTTAACAAGAAGAATCCTCTAGCAGAAGAAAAAGTGGCTCATATCTGTTTAATGTCGATGATCCAGAGAGTGTTTTATCACAATAAAAAGTTCCTCTACAGCACAGAGCCGAAGTCAGCGGGTGATAAAACTGAGAAAGCATCCGTAGCACAAGCAGTAATTAAAAAGTCCGTATTAACGAACCTTCATGAGAACGCGTCTTCACAGTTTTACTAAAGAGGCCATTGCGCATGTTTGCAGCGTATGATTGAGATTTGTTTAAATCTGATCACTAGACATTAACATGACCCCTTCATTTGATGCCAAGGGCCTCGAGTGACGTGAAGCAACGACGCACACATTTAAACTCCGTTTCCTGTAGGTGATGTACAGCCAGGACAAACACAGCCGCCCGAGCGTGGTGGAGACCAACAACACCTCCTTGGAGTTATCACTCCCAACCAACCAAGACTATGTCATCCAAATTAAACCTTTCAGCGAGGGAGGGGAGGGCATCAGCAGTCGCCAGATTACCATCCCCAAAGTCGAAGGTAGGGCGGCCATCACCACAAAAGTCTCTTTAAAATGCCTGTTTATACTATTGTTTATATATGAAATCAAATAACTATGGTCCTCCTTTGGTTTCTAGGGATTTTCTGTTTTATTTTTTTCTCATCTGCTGCTTTGTAGCTTATTATTCTCTATTTTTACGCTGTAAGACGGTGACTTTGAATAATCTCATTGATGAAAGTGTGAACATCCACTTAAGCCCTCCAAACACATCCCACAGTTGCATTTGATTAATAAATTACTGCATCCTTCTGTACAAGTCATTTTTCACTGAAAATCCTACTAAATGGTTTTGTTTTTTTATCAAAACTTTTTTTTTTTTCTCACACAGTAGCCGTTAAAATTGCAGCTTTTCCACACATGATCAACTGGCAGAATGGTCTCCATCATGCACTTAAAACTTGCTTTTGATCAAAACTGTGTTGCTTTGCTCGTGTCAATCTTCAAGCTCTTCCACAGTCTTCCTGAGCGCGCTTGTTGTGCTACTGCCATCTAGTGACACATAGGTGTACTCACACCAAACAGTTCAAATAACTGTACAGGAAACATTTTGATTACATTTCTTTTTTTTTTTTTTTTTTTTTAGATAAAACTATTTTGTACATCACAGAAACAAACCTTTGGGTTTGTTTAATTCTTATCTGATTCTGTATTCCAGGCTCCATAGCGACGGGAGCAGCTCCGAAGTCCTTGGGATTTTCAGCGGTGAGCATTGGAGCTGTAGTTCTCACAGGCAGAATGCTGCTATGACAAACATCCAGAAATTGCAGCTTCTTATTCAGAGTGGAAGGACTGCAGGTCAGAGACGACACAAGGCTTAAAGCCTAATTTCCTCCTGCTCCCTTCTCCACCCTGCTATGTCTCTCCTCTCTGCCCCACAAAAGGTCTTCTTTGTGATGAAGATCCTTTTCTTCACTTTTCTAAAGTGGTTGCTGAAAGGAAGCACCGCTTCTCGGAATTTGCTTTTAAGAAACCGACTTGACTCGACTGACTCCAGCCTTTTTTTGAAGATTAGTTTTTCTCATCTACTTTCTAACTAGTGGATATTCTTGTATGTTTTTCACCTTGGAGGATAAATTAGGACATGTACATGCTTTCCCAGAGGAATTGTGCGGGTTATTTTCTAAAAGGAGTTATTTAGTGTGTGTACCACTGAGATTTTCCTTCAGAAAACAGAACTGAGAGTGGAGGCGACCCACATTGCTTACTTGCTTATCTAAAGTGGAGATCTGCTTACGCTTGTTTGGAGGTAAGAAGCCGTTCTCTTTGAGAGGAAATGATCATCCCCATCAAATGGAATAAAATAATGGGGATTAAGCTTCACTGCTTTAACACAGGACAGAATTTGGGACCTTTCTGTTCTTTCCTGCTTCGATTCCTAACATTACAAGTTGCCATAAAACTGACTGGAACCAAAGTGGCTGCCACAGTGCAGCTCTACCTGCTGCATCGTGGGAAGAGGCAGCCTGTACTCACGTTGCTTAATTTCTATCAAGCAGCTGGCTTGTGTAAATGATAAATGTCCCATCTTGCTCCATCATCAGTGTATAACCAAGACATACATGTATGAAATCCTCAGGTCCCCAAATGAGCCTTAAGTCTTATGATTACCATCCGAATTATCAATCAGGACTACATTTGTTTTTGTTTATCCACCTTGTATCTTAGCTCTCTCTGAATCATATCTTTGAATGTTTTGAACTTGGGGGAGGGGAAAACTAAATACTTTTTGTCGTCTTTTTGTCCTGATGAGCATTGTTATACAATACGTGGTCCTGTTTTCTGACTTTTCTAGCATAGTTTATATCAAATCCAGCTCAGTGTTTCACTGTTGGTTGGTCAGTGTGTGTGTCTTGGTCACACACACACACGGTTTGAAAGGATCAGTCTGCTTTGAATAAAGATCATGTCATTTTCCTCATTTCTGTCCCCCATTGTAACGTTGGAAAAATGTTCTTTAAATTAAAGTGTTGCCTTTCTTTTTGCTCATGCGGTTAAGATTTGGATGCCCTTTTGCATCACTTCTTCATCTCTACCTTTTGCCTTCTGAAATATTACACCAACATAAAAATGTCCTTTGTTGACCTAAAAGTTACTCCATTTAGCTCATATAGTTTTTCAAAAAAAAAGTAGTACTTATATAAAGTGGATGGAAAATGTTTTTTTTTTCTTTTTAATTTGACAGTATGAGTCATTTGTCTTCATGTCCCTTTATAAATACAAAAGTCAAATTTCCCACTGGGAAAATGGGAGTAACTCCAATTTCTTTCAGTTAAAAACATGTAAGGCTGACTTTGCCTTTCAATATGGCCGCTCCTCACATCAACATTTGTAAGCTGTGGTAGAAACATGTTTAGTACAAGACAAACATGCAGGTCCATCTACAATCAATGTTACATGTCGCTCCTGAAACTCTAAACCAAATTAAAAGTGGTGTTTGTTCATAGAAAGTAAAGCTTAAAATGATGTTCATAAGATGTACTGTAAACAATGTCTATAGGCATTGACATGCTGTTGAAAGTTGGGATTTCAAAACTTAAAATCCCAATTTGTTAACTGGAATGGTGTTATCTTAGGTGTTATGTCAAACCTAACCCCGATTTCTGGGGAAACTGGAATGCAGCATAAGAGTGCAACTACAAGCAAACTGAGAGCTCTTTAAAATTAAGAAATTTAGATTCACTTTCTTGCATTGCAATTGCAAATTTAAGCAAAAGGGAAAGAGCTGGTGCACATAATAAACAGGACTCATCTTCAGCTTTCTGTCGGTCTTTATTTGTTTTTTGGATGAAGCACAATGTACAGCATAGACACAGCACCAAGCAATGGAGAGCAGCAGAGCAGAGGAAATGGAGCGGAGACACGGAGTTAATCGGACACGGCTTCCCCAAGCTGATTCTTCCTGGATATCAAACTTCCACAAATGTGCCCTTTTTTCAGCCTATCCTGGTCAGTCTGTCCCAACAGGCTGCTCCGAACAGGATTATGCAGAATGTCAATGTTAATGGTGAGAAGTATTTCAGCTGGGTTCGCTTAGTGTTGATGCAAAGCTCGATACTTTTAGGTAACTGGTGCCCCCTAGTGCACATCCTGCCCATAGTCATTCACTAACGTACTTCACGTCTTCTACAATCCACCAAACGGCATCAAAAGAACAGCAAGAGGGATTAAAAAAAAGGCTGCATTTCTCTTTCCTTCAACCCTCCAGCTGCACACTGCCATATGTTTTTTTTGTTTTGTTTTTTTTTACTCTTAAAAAATACAGAACCAAAATCTGAAACACAACAGAAGTTACACCACACATGTGAACATTGTAAAGTTTAGTGTTTGAAAGCAAAAATTATCAGTAGTGCATTCATAAACCTGACATGACAATGTGTTGCATTGTCTTATTTTTAATTTGCTGAATGTATTTTTTTTTTCTTTCCATGGTGCATAAATTTGATTAACAATATGGGTTTGGCAAACAGACAGAAATTGTATTCATGAATTGTTTCTTCTCCACATCTTAAAGACAGCATACTTAAAGGGAAACCTTGTCATGCCAAGTTTATGTATTTGTCTCTCTGGCACTTATACAATTAAAAGGAGCTCATTTATAAAAAAAGTTTTTTTTTTTTTCTTTTTCAATACAAAACCGGCATTTGTACAATTTTACTGCTATCTCAATTGGCACATTACACGTCTGTGGCATTCGTCTAACATTCAAGTACTAATTCCCACACAGCTAAAGGTTCAGAGATGTTTCTCCTACACTGTATTCTACTTATGACGGCGTACTTTACATGACACATCAGAAGAGTTCAGATGCATAATACCATGTAAGCAAAACAGTTTGGAAGAAGAACAAAGTATTGTTGCAAGTCAGTAACAAAAAAAAAAAAAAAACAGTGCAACAAAACGCGGGCCTGCAAAACCTTTGACGTTCCTTAAGATTTGAATAAAATAAGTGAACTGATATGTTTAGATATCTTATACAGCACCATCAAAATGAGATGCAAATGGATTAAAAATTTAAAGGCTCAACCGTAATGATTCACTTTCTCCGAGTTTTCAGTTATAGAGTAGAACAGATTTTCCCGTTCCTTCACAAGAAACATAATTGCGAATATTTGAGCCTAAATCTTCATGATCTGTCAGTTTGCTTCCTCCTTCTGCATCAGCATCCATTTTTATAGTCTTATTACAATCCAGTAATGCAAGAAATTATATCATGCAGACATTATCTCAAATACTACTTTTACCGATGCAGCTGTGTTTTGAGTCTACTCTATGAGCTTCACCACACAAAACAGCCAAAGTGGCTTACATCCAGACGGACTGTGAAAGCTTATCTAAAGGCAGGGACAGGAGAGGAACTTGGGTTCATCAATACTTTTCACACTGTTCTGATTCAATCCAACAGCTCCACAGTGCAACAGCAGCTCCTGCAGCATGTGTGCATCCCTGCATACTCGCCACCCACACGTCACATCAAAAAAACACGCGGAAAATAAGCTGGTTGAAAAAGACAAAGGGACTTCAAGTGATCAGGCAGAGACAAGAATTCCCCTTAATCAACGCGTGATCATCATCGTTCAAAGAAGACGTTTCCTCCTTCAATCGAGGCAGAAGTGGAGAAGTGAAAACTTTTCAGGAAATTATTTTGAAACCTTCTTTTCTGAATTTGTTATTGGCTACTTCATAGATCAACAAAGAAACAAATTCAGTTCCAGACACATTAGCATTGCTAAATTAATTATTGATCACGAAGATATTCCCAAATTTCGTTCTATGAAATCTGAAGGATGAGGTCTGATTATTCCACAGTGATTCATTTAACAGAAATTCTCAAACTATATCTTCCTTTAAGGAATACTCAACCGAGCGTTTTGAACATCAAGGTCCTGAGAGGTTTTGCAGGGGAATTTGGTCGGATCATGACTTTAATTGTTCATTGTGTTTTGGTATTTTGTTGGGTTTCCAGGCGGATCGTCGTCTGAAGAGCGTGAATCATACAGCATTTTTGCAGCTTGACTAAGAGTGGCTCCTTAGATCAAAATGACAGGAAATGCTTCAATGCAAATCTAAAAGTTTAAAAGGTCCATTTCACCATTGTACAAGCGAATCTCTGTCCGGAGCCCTGCTGACCGTCATCTTATGTAGTGGGGGTTGGTGTGGGTGGCATCTTCAGCTCCGGCACTGACACCTCTGGTCCACACGGGGGCACTCTTGCTCCAGTAAAAAAACGAGACTGAGGATGAGAAGAGCCACAATCACAACCTTTCAAGACAGAGGCGTCAGTCAGAGCCAAGACAGCAGCTGTACCTATGTGGTGCCATGTCGGTCCTCAGCAGATGGTTCGGTTTCCCTAATGACGACCGCCTTGGTCACCTGCATGTCCGGATGCTGCTGCTTGGCTTCCTGTATTGCAATAGCCAGAGCCTGCAAGGACAGCAGGAGCCTCGTGAGACACTCAAGACGGCAAAGATTTTCAGCTTCGGTTCAAAATACATTTAAAGTTTATAAGAAACACATGGGCATTGACAGGATGCACACTTTGTTTCTTCTGTTTCTTAATTATTTTAAAGAAGCTATTATTGTCGCAGTATTTTCAGCAAAGCCTCGTCACATCAAGGTTAGCATGCAACAGCCCATTTACTTTTAAAACACCATTATTATTTTAATTAATTTTGATAAAGCTCCATTGCTTTAAGAAGCACATTAATTAGTAATTTATTAATGTTTTTCATAATCTTGTTTCTCTGCAATTAATAAAATGTTGCCACTTTCTATTCAAGATTTCTTCTTCCAAATTTAGCTGAAATAATAAGTGGTCAAGATGCGGATATATTTTAAAGAAAAACTTTTATGGACAATTTTATCTTTTTTTTTTTTCCTGATCACTTTGAACTGGGTTTTGAAGTCTGACCTATCCACAGATCACAAGTCTTTCCTTCTTTTTGGATTCTGTTTTATTTAACCCTTTCCTGTCTCACCTGCTCTTGGTCCACGTCGTCATCTCCAGTGATTATAATCCTCTTTTCAATCCTCGTCTCAGAGTATCCACCCTTCACTGTCTGCAACACAGAGTTGCCCCTCGGTACATGAGTAGCAGATAAAAAGTCTTTCAACAAATGCGGGATGATTGCATGTGCTTTGGCTTCTTTTCTTTTTTTTTTTTCTACCTCCGTACCTTTGAGACGTGAGTGGTTGCTGAGGTAACGTTTTCAGCGACAAGGATAGGCGAACCAGCCGACTCTCTTCCAAAACCGCTTCTGTGCACCTGATAAAGCAAAACGCAGCCAAGCACAAATTACTGGGTAATTAGCACAATACTATTGAAATTTCTGTCCCATTTGCTAGCGACTTTCCAGAGAACTTGGCAATCTCAGCCTCTTTGAGTCATTTGTCTATAGCTAAGTAGCCAAATGCATATTAAAATTACATCTGTGTTCAAATAACAGCAAATTATTTTCCTAAATGGCAAACAAGCAAGCCCAAAAGCCCAGCAGTCATAACATGCATGTTCTAATTCTGTTATTGAAACTTTATTTCAAAGGAGTGTATTAGAAATAATAGAGTGATGCTCAGTGAGGTTGTTAATTCCAGAATTTATGCTGAAAGGTAAAACATATTCATGTTTATTATTAATACATTCCTTTGAAACATGAATAGAAATGCTCTCAGACACTTCGGTCAGACGTCGAACACCAAGCTGCCTCATCCTATTCGTCTGCTGTGCCCTTCATATTTTCCAGACAGAGGCGTGTCATTCTTTCTCTTAGTGAAGTGTCAGGAATCAGGATTGCTGTCATGGAGCCAGGCTTCTGCAGCTTCATCAGACTTGATTCTCCCCAAAGTCCTTCAGGTTATTTCTCCTAACAGGATGGTGGCATTGTTGATGAATATTTGGAGGCCCCTTTCAGCCAAATCTCTGAACCTTGCTCAGAACGAACACTGTTTAGTTGGGATGAGAGAGGGTTGATTCGTTCCTCCAAAAGAATGTGAGTTTGAGCTCACAAAAAAACATCCTTGACCTGAGTTAGGGTGGCTTTTAAGAAGATAACTTTTAGAAAAATGTGTTTGTTGCATGTTAATTTAAAGTCACCATGTCCTGACTTTATAATATGGGATATGATCTGTGAATCTTTGCAAAAATCTAGGTCCTATGTCTCCTGTCTGTGGGCCTCCAGTCATCTGCAGAAATACACCGCTCCCAGTCAGTAACAATCAGTCAGAGCCAGGAGGAATGTCTTGGCGCTCGTGTACGCACTGTTCACACCCTCTCCCTTGCTCTCTGCTGCAAGACATCTTCTCCCCCTCCAGAGCCTAATGTGAGCTCTTCTACCATTAGCGCAGCTGCTGCAAACCGGCAAGCTTGAGCTTGTATGTGCTGGGAAAGGGAAGTTGTGAGCAGCACATGCACAATTGTGTTTGACAGCATTAAGACCTTACTCCTGGCTCTGATTGGTTGCTTCTGACCAGAAACGGTGCATTTCTGCAGATGGCAATAGCAGACATTGAGGAGTCAGAGGAGCACAGACAGCAGTCTCCTGTTATGCTCTCAGAGTACTGTGAAAGTTTCAATAAATAAGTAAAAGTATCTATATATTTTTATAAAAGTTACCTCCTGCAGCTTTAATAGCGTCCCCCCTGCTGAGGCACCTCTGATGTTTGGACCAGAAGCCCTAAAGGCAGCTAGAGCTGCAGCACAGCATTCAGTTCTCATCTTACTCAACTAATAATTCATTATTTTATAATGACAAAATATAAACAGATTTGTATGCTTTCACAAAGTGCTTCTGGGTTCATAATAAATACAAATATTTCCAAAACATCACAAGACACCATAAATCAAAATTTTGAAAAAACAACTGTTTCCATCACAAGACAAGCTGCCTGATAAGTGCATCGCTGAGGTCAAACTCTGAGTCTGGTTTGTTTCCATAATGATGAAAAAAAGCTATCAAATGTTTTTGTTCTAATCTCCCCTCTATTGTGTGTGTAAGATACACATGTTTCAATCTATTTAAATGACCTTAATGATTCGTGTCTGTCATCTTTTGAAGTGATTGGATAGAAATGGTTCAACAGTCGAGGTCCTGTTTATACTCACTGGAGATACGCTTTGTCTCGTAGAGTAAGAGACCTCGCTTAGCGACGTGATGCCATGATCCTGGAACAGAGACCGGATCACTCTCACGCGATTTGCTCGAAGCGGCTAACTTTACATTTCAAGCTCTGATTGCGTCAAAACACCATCAGCCCAACCTGATCTGTGAACTCCACTATGGTGGTGGTGAGCTCTGACCCGTTGGGCTGAGTCTCTGTCCTGGTGTCGGTTTTTCTCACTGTCGGGGTGGGCATGACATCACTAGCCTCTCTGCTCAGAGGCGCTACTGTAGGGAGGCGACTGGCTTCTTTGTGCGACTGATCTCTGTCCACTGATGACGACACTGGCACTGACCTCTTTGGTTTTTTAGGCACAACAGGCTTGCAAAAAAAAGAACAAAACAACAAAAAAACAGATTTCGTTTGGTTTATTCTTGTAGAAAAATCTTTTGATTCTCAATTATTTAAAATGCTGAGGATTCTTAAAGAATTTTATCCAAACAATATGAAAGTGCAATATTTAATGCATAAAGCTTCTGAAAAGCCTACCTGGCCGTCGGGTCTTTTGACATCTTGTCGGACTTCTGGTCTGACCTCGGGTCGGACTTCTGGTCGGACTTCTTCAGCTTGAATGAGTTTGGCCGGAGGGCTACCACTCGCTCCTCTGGTGAGAGGAGCGGACACTAACGGAGGCGGTGGCTCGGGGGGGCCTTGCTGCTGGAGCAAGTCGATCCCGAAGCGCAGCCCCCCGTCGGGTGAAAGATCTCTCTCTCCCAACTCTGACATACCCCTGGAGAACTCCTCCATGCCCGTTTGCAGATCTGTAAGGACGGTGAAATCTACTTCAGCCTCTAGGCTGGAGGTCGAGCTCACAGTGATGCTGGAACACTTGCGCTCGATGCCCAGGTGGGTTTCCTTCAGGTAGAGGATGTCATGATCCTGGTCATCCTCAGATACAGAGCCTAGGCGTCTCTCCCATGGTTCCTTCTGTTGAGATAAACAAACAAACAAAAAAAAAGACATTGAAATTATCTGTAAGTTTGGATGTGTTTTTTGAAAACTTGAAGTAATCTCAGCAGGCCATCCCATAAGTAGTCATAAATTTTTATTTCTGACCAGTTGGTTTTATTATTGTGCTTCTTATCTTATGAGGAAACATCACCTAAATCTCACCATAGTGTATATAAAGGAATCTAATTGTTTTCCTCTTACCAGCCCAGTATATTTTACCCTTTATAATAATGTTGAGTATTGACTGCAGTAGCTGCTGATATGTATGTGTCACATGACCTGTTCTGTGCTGATGTTTGATATCCACAGTTAGTAGAGGTAGTCATTAAATTTTGAGACACTGAAAGCAAAGCGCTACATTAATGAAGCCGGTGTCCAATTTCTATATGCACTCAAAAAAGTTCAAAAAGCAATCATCAGAACAGAAAGACAACATGCTTATTAAGACAGTAAGTTTATTAAAGCTTATTTGCACTTTCATAAACTTACACCTGGCTCCTATCGACCGTTTTCATTTGGTTTGTCGAAGCTTTACGTGTCGAGTCAGAAATGTCATGTTTCAGCGCACTTAAATCCCACAAGTTTTGATCGTGTATCACAGTGACTAAATAGGCTTAAGTATTCTTAAAGGTCGTGGATCTGAGTCTGCAAAAAGACTAAATCAAGACATCATTTTTGTGCTGGTTTGATTAAAACTCACAAGCAGTTCTTTTAACTGCGTGAACATTCTCGCCTAACATACGGCCAAACAAATCAAATTGCTGAACTCACCGAACTTTCGCTGAAATGCTCCTCGTGGATGGCAGGGGTCGGGGGCGTGTCCTAGAAAGTAGAAACACAAACAATAAGCAAAACATTAAAACAAGACTGGTCATGGAAATGTGTAAGAACATCATAAAGGGAAGTTATAAAAAGCTGGGAAGCTTTTTGTTAATCAGGCTCCACATGAATCTCAGCAGTTATATTGCAACAGGTAGAATTTCTAGCAAATAATGTGACTTTTTTTTGTTTTATTCATTGCTCTCCAGTAAGCTTTCATAGCGCTGGATGCGGGGTAAGGGTGAGTTCCTTTTCAGTAAATGAACACACAACTCCTTAAATGTACGTCTGAGAATTTAGAAAGTAGAGCTGCTGTCATGCACTTGAAGTATCATTCTGTGGATTACGTCAACAAAAATGATTGCAAGTGCAATGGTAATGCCATGCACTGAGAGGTCTGATAAAAATAAAAAATAAAAAAAAAAGAATTCCCTTTCAGGGAAGATGTATTCATATTTGGAAATGCAGCATATGAATACCCCAGCCCTGAGGCGGCTTGGCAGTTCTGCAGGATATTACTTTTAATAACCTTTTTTTTTTTTTCAGTTTTTTTTCTTGTTGCTACAGAGGTGCCAAGGTAGAACATTTGCTTCCGAGGCTCAAAGCTTTTTTTAATTATTTTTTGCAAAAAGGGATTGAAATTATGTGAAAATAGGCTTTAAGAAAAAGGGGGGAAAAAAGGGTGAAAAGGTCTTGCACTCCTTGCAACAACGACCTCCTTCACTTTGTGAGGATGTTGGAAGGAGCAAGTATGTGTTAAGTTGACAGAGTTAAGGACGCCTGAAGCTTAAGCAATATGAGCTTTGCTTAAAGGCCCACAGCGTTCTCAAACGGCCGAGCAAATGTGAAGCTCTGCAGAAGAAACGGGGAGGAAGGTGGAGGGACGAAAGCAAAATGCTCCTGATCCCATGGACGTGAACTGAGGCAGTCAATGGTACGATGCGCAGGGACGTGAACTTTTGCTTTCTCATTAGCAGCCACATGACTTTTGAAGGATTATGCATGTGTGATGTTATTTGTATTCAGATGACTAGAAAACAAGATCTGAAAACCACACTGGCTGAAGCTCATGCAATGCTTTAGTTTCCGATGATGGATAAACAGGCTGGAAGGAACTGGCGGTTTACCGGTTGCTTTCTCTTGGCCGTTTCTTGGCTGGTGGTCCGGTAGTGGATATGGCTGCTGTCGATGTTGTTTGGTCTGTCTCGAGACCAGTGTGTTTTCAGAGGGAGGCTGCGGGGGGGAGCTGTGGGAAATTTGGAACTAAACTCTAAGATGTTTGGAAAATTGTCCTCATGTAGAGAACTCCCTCTCGTCCCTGCTGAATCTCTGCAGTCCTTCAGCTCCTTCTGCGGTAACAACGCACTCGCCGTCTGATGGGAAACTTGGGTTTGCCGATACAACTCTAAAGACTGCAGCACAGTGGCATCATCGTGTCTCCTTCCTGATTCGCAGGGCAATTTATTCATCTGTCCATTCCCAGCAGCACCAATTGTGCTTTTGTCAGACTGGCTTTGAGTTTGAGGATTTACAACTTTGTTCTCCTTATTCAAAGACTTCTTTGATCTTTGCGGTTTGAGCGGAGCTATTTTGGTGACTTCTGAATGCGAGTTCACATTTTTGTTCCCATCCTTCTCCTCTGAACTGGGGCTCAGGTCTTTCGTTTTCCGAGCATCACTCTGCCTTGTGCCACTTTCACTTTTAGGTCTGTCGCCCTTAGGGAAAGACTCCACAGTTGCAAAAGATTCAAAGGGTTTGTTTTTCTCTCGACGCTCATACAGAGAAATGTTTGTGTCTTTGTTCATTTCATTCATCATCTTGTCAGGTGGAGAGCCATATCCATTTTCATGAAGCACATTCCTCACTAACGCAGAATCACGATGGCCATTAGTTGCATCCTCCGTCTTGTTCATATCTCTCCGTCCTGCTGAGTCAGTTATAGATGCTCCCGGCTTAGTAGTTAAAGATTCCCTGGATGTTTGGCAATAGTTCGTAATTGCATCAGGCCCTGATGAGGTCTCACTTTTTTCTGCACTGAAGTAAGAATCCAGTGTGGTCTCATAACCATCCTGCTTCTCAATCAATTTGGCATCACTGGTTGCCTAAATTGACAGAGTAGACAGTTTGTATTAGCCTAACAATGAAGCCTCTATTAGTTAATCCCTCTCTCACCCCAAGTTTCAAGTTCTGTGCAAAATTTCCAGTTACCCAAATGAGAGTAATAGAAACATGTTCTATAAAATTGTTACCCGATATTTCTCTACGTCAAGCTCCCAAATAAGTGTAAACATTGTAATTTCAAAATCAATTTATTAGAATAAGGGTCGCAATAACCCAAAGAACCTGAACGTTATACAAAGTAACTGTTTTTTACACAATGTTTATTTTCCCACTGGACTTTGTTTATCATAAAGACTTTATAACTTGTCAAAAAATTTAAAAAAAATTTCAAGTTTAAAAATTTTCCTCATTTTCTTTCATTCGTTTTCATTTTGATTAAGGTAATATTTCTTTTCATGTTATAAGCAGCAGCATGGCCTTACACCCTCACCAATGTATTTGTCTTTCATTCATATGGTACATCAAGAGATGTGGCTGTAGAAAATTATTACAGTGCCACATGTGTGTGTTAGAGTTATTGTAGTAGTCACAGTGAAATCTTTTCCAATACCCCGGCTGCCATGGAGTTTTGTCAACTACAAATATGAATTTTTGCCCCAAGACTTAAGAAACTGTTACAAACTGTACAATAGAAGTGGTGGCCAAACCCTAGAAGAACTCGGTATGAGTCTGCAACCATCGAACACTCTGCACTAATGAAGGTTTACTCACCACAGCCTGCTGAACCCTCGAGGTGACTCACACAGCAGGGACTTGGTGATTAATTCAGCAAATAACTAACTACTTACAGGCATTCAAAAAATTTAGAAGGAGCTTTATTAAAATACTATGAGTGAGAATTGACAATATTTAAATTAAGCTTAGTTGAATCAGTGCTGTAATAAAGAGTTGTGACGGTTTTGGACATTTACACCTGCAATTAATGTAATCAGATGACTTTTGTGAGTTGACTGAAGATCACATGATTAGGAAATAAAAGGCGTACAGAGAGTGCTAAGAGCAGGAAGTGAGTCTTACCGTTTTCCGTTCCGGGGTTCCTGCAGGAGGAGTTCCTGAAGGCAGGCGCTTCTCTCTTGGCGCCTTCTTGCTGTTCGGCTGCTTCAAAGCTCTCTTCAGCTCGTTGATGCTGGCTTGGTGTTTCTGCAAGACGTCCTCTGGCTTGTCCAGAAACTGCTGCTCGGACAGCAAAGGACAACATGAACAGAAATTAACCCAGCTTGCTAGAAATATAAACACAGTTGGCATGTCGAAACTCAACTAAATATTTGTTAAAAAAAAAAAGAAACTAAACAAAGAAACTGAACTTCCATTTCCTCAACTCAAACTTAATTTTATATCACGTTTAAAACGACAGAGGTCGTTGCATCATGTTCTTCAAGAAATATGCAAACTATATACATTTGATACGTGACCAATGACTGATATGGTTTTACTATGTACCATCACACATGAAATAACAAAAAAAACACTGAGGGATTGTTGTTTGAGTTTTCAGTCAAAATGAGTTTATGAATTTTAATATAGCAGCCAGAATTAAAATAAAAGTAAACATCTTCAGCAGTTGAAAAGATAAGTTATCTCTGCTACACAAAGCCACAGCTAACTGAGTTCTCTAAAAATTCATGTCTATTATTCAACAAAAGAGCTTTCCAATTCGCAAACATCTCTGAAACTGACATTCAGAGCCATTATTATAAATCAAAGTGATGCAATAAATAACTACGTGGACCACAGCGGTAGAGCTTTAAATTGGACTTCCTTTTATTTTGCTGTGTTCTGACAAGTGAAAGATGCAGACATAAACTCATCAACACAGAACTCCCGACGACGTTCATACACAGCACATGCCAGAAATAAGAGGACGAGCAGTACCTCCTGTTTGGGCCGAAGGTGCACCACATCCTTGTCCGATAGATGAGGTGGGGAGGGAGGGTGCAAGCGAGCAAGGTGGAGTGAGCGGTTTTAGGGGCAAAGCAGCAGAGTTTGAGGGGCGACGCGTGGGAACAGATGTGTGCAGAGACAAAGAGGTAAAATGCAGCAGGTGAGTGAAAACGGGCAGACAGAGTGACAGACAGAAACAGCTGGCACCATCTGGCAGCAGAGGGAGGACTTCTGACTCGAGACTATTAAGCTGAATAATGTTCTGCCAAGAAGACAGGGACAATCCATTTCAGTGTCAGCCAAATGATAATTAATGCAGTCGCTTATTGATTCCAGTGTTTGAGAGAGGATTATTCCCGTGCTTCTTTATCCAATGATTTGATGAGAGCAAACCACAAAATGAGAAGTCCAATAATGTCCAATCATGTGCTAATCAAATGGTTGTTTGTCTGACAAAAGACGACAACACACACTGAGCCTTGGCAAAATATTCATGGTCCTTCTACTTTTTTCATATCTTGACATGGTACAAGCATACATTTACATGTACTTAAGTGACAGACTAAGACAAAGCATTGAATATTGCGCAAGTAGAAGGAAAAGGATGCGCGTTTTAAAATGCGTTTAAAATTTAAATTCTAAAAACTGTGGTGGAATTTAATTCTTCAATACAAAATAGTATAAACTGATTGGACTGAGGGCGCCTGTCTGACTCAGTTTATACTATTTACTTTACGTTTTACTTTACTGAACTAAAATCTCAGTAAAGTAAAATGTGATTTCACTCGAAATAATATGTATAAAAAAATGTTGAAAAAATAAAAACATCCATTTTCAAAATGTACAAAATTTCAACACATTTCATACCCAGGGTTCACCAAAATCCCTCCTCTGACTGATTTGCACTTTTTTGTCTTTGTTGTCTGAGCTTCCAATTTTAGTTCTCCCCAACTCATAACTCTCTCAGCTGTGTGTCTGATTCAGAAACATTTCTGATTCAGTCTTACTTTTAAAGCCATCTGTTGGTGTGCCATACCTTTTCCATTTTTTTATTTTCCAACTGATCACACAATGCTTAGAGACATAATAACCTCAGTAAACTAGCCTTGATTGTTCATTTTTGCTCAAGTAAAAACACAAGTGCTCTACAAAGACAATTGTTTTAATACTGAGAATAAATTACACACAAATTAGCTGGATTTATGATCCAGACAATGTCAGAGCAAATATGTTGCACTGTTAACTAAAAATGGATGATTTTGCTTGCAAGTTATTTTCATACCGATGAATGGTTTCCCTCACACTTCAAAATTTTGCACTGCTTTGTGTTTGTCTGTCACACAGAATCCTATTGAAGACTTTAGTTTGTAGTTGTTGCATGTGAAAAAAGTGGAAGACGACACAAATAGTTTTTGCAAGGCGACATGACTCAGCAGTTTGTGTTCATTAGAAATGAACACAAACCCCAGTCAAGATGCCCACTGCTGAATTTGTGGCATAAACATTCATTTGTTTGAATTTCTTTGCTTTCCAATGAAACTCTTACACCGCAGGGAGAAAAAATATATAAAGAGGAATATAAATAAGTGCGTATCAATAACTTTTTTGCTCTTCTGAACATCAGTTCATGAAAGCTTCCACAGATTCCAGTTAGTTGAATCCTGGACATAAAGACCTAAACAGAAATATTTCCACAGGCATTTAACTGCGTAAGCACAGAGTAACATAGCATGACCTAAAAACAACCACAAAAAGACAGATACATGACCAAAATACCTCTGGTTTTGTGTCTATAGGAAAGCCTGGCTCCTCATCCTGGGTGCAAAGACAAGGTAGAGGATGGAAATGTAGGAGAAACGGAGCAGAGGTTAGTGAGGTATGTTAGGAGTGCAGCAGCAAGAGAAGAAGATTCATGAGGCAGGGTGCAAGTGTGACAAATATTATCTGCAGCAAAGAAGTCAAGTTAGAATAAAAAAAATATAGTGAGCAGAGAAGACTTAAAGGTCCTATAAGAATATAGGATATTAAGCTGAGAAGAGAATAATAAGGATGGTGATTAGTGTCTTTAATAAAAAGGATTGTGAAGGAGAAAATGAGAAGTTCATGCAGTATTTTAAAACCAATGGGCAAAATTGCAGAAAGCTTTTCAAATGGTATTTCAGTGGTGCTCTCAAAGCTTCAGTGTTTTACCCAACGGATCATTTCATCTCCACTTCAGACTGACAGGCGGTAGCTAATGAGAACTTTCTCGAGGATTGACATAATTAATTCACACTGCATCCACAGGTTTGAGCTTTTTGACAACTGGGAGCTGCGGAAACTGGAAATGGTTCTCTGTTCTCTGTGGTTTCTGGCCTTGAATCCACCTTTTTACCTTGAGCTCCAAAGCCTTTGTGGGCGTTGAGCTGATGGCTCCCATTGGCTGTTTCTGTCCATCCTGGTGCTCCGCTTCCTGGTCTATGTACTGGTCCTGGTCTTGATAGAGATAGTGATCATGGTCCAGGTCAAGGCTGCCCTCCTGATCCAGGTCTTCCCTGGACATAAACTGTGTGCGTTCACTAGAGCTTCTCTGCGATAGCTGATCCATACTGTCACCCAAAGCTGAGGCTGTGGAGAAGGAAGTGCAGAGGAACAGTAAAATATAAATGTCCTTTAGTACAATCAACCAGAACACAAACCTGTGCACAGACAGGGACAGAGCTGGAGTTCAAACCTCCATCTATGCTCCGTGGCTGCAGGTACCGCTTGCTGACGGACCGATCAAACTGCGGGGCGGGGCGGTCGATCAGAGCACTGGCCTGCCTCGTCTGCGCTTGGGTCCGCCCACTGTAGCGAAACTTGGAGCCAATTACGAGGAAGCCTTTCGGGGGTGGCTCTGGGGAAACCAACCTGTAGAAATAAACCTCAGTTTATTTATATAAACAACTTGGAGATTAATTACTTTGAAAAATATATATATATTTTAGATTTTAACTAAATGTGTAACAAATAGCATGTAACATTAGATGTGCAGGGATCCTTTTTTAAAATGTTCTGGTGACAGTTTGATGCAAATCCTGATAGAGTGTCACCTATCATGTTATTGCTGGTCAGAACTGGAGCAGAAATGACTTTTTCCCAAATGCTGCTTGGAGCATTTACAAGTATATGGAGCAAGTTACAAGTAGCCTTTCATTACTGTGCTGATTAACAGGCAGTTGGGCTGGGGACAGAGAGCTTTTTAATCCCTTCATGCTGTTTTATTAAATAAAAAACAGCATGAAGCAAATCCAGGACAGTATTTTCTCCTGATCTCCTAAATCTTTCCTTTTAATAGTTTAAATTCAATTGAGCTGCAGACTTTGCTGCCCTTACCTTCCTCCTTGTTGGACTTTGTGTTATGCATTGGTATCCCAATTTAAAACTCTCTTGAGTAACTTCTGGCCTGCATGTTTTTCTTGTGCTCATTTTTTTCTTTCCGTACTTTTGCAGACTTCTAAAATTTTGATCATGGAAATTAACACAACTGTGGTGAGCAAAACAAAAGAATACATATATCCTTTAAGAAATAAGATGTCTACATTTCACTTCCTGTATAATATATAGTATTGTTTGAAGGTTTTGACCCAGCAGTAAATTAACAATATTTTTGAGTTAATATTAAAAACCGTTTTTTTTTTTTTTTTTTTTAATCTATGGATGTTTTCTGATTTTACTTTTATTCACAGTTTAATTTTGACAGGGATTAATTGCTGTTACTACAGCTTTCAAAGCTATTTCACTTTGACCTTTGGCTCCCTCAGGAACTAAGGCTCCACCACCAATCAGTCACCAGCCTGTTACCCAGACAGCCTGGCTGCAGGAGGATGCCCCAGTCCAGCCTCTCCGTTCTGGGTGAGGTTCACCTACTTCAGTGTTCAGTTTCCAATAGGACTTTTCAAATTCCCTGTAGTCCGAGTCCTTCTCAAAGTCCAATTTGCCATTCGAGATTCTACCAGGGGCTATTTGTGTCTTCCTCACATTGATGGTAGGATGGAAAGAAGATGAACAGATTGACTAAGGCCTCGCCTGCAGCAATGTGGGCTTTGCTCCACACTGCGGATTTGGAGTACAGCTGGTGCACATCTGCATCAAAAGGAACCTGTTGAGGTGGTTTGGGCGTTTGATCAAGATCCCTCCTGGGTGTTTCTCCAACACACGTCAACTCTTTCTTACAGGCTTTGTTAGACACTATGCTCCATCCTCTGATATTTTCACCGAATAGCTGTTTGAAAAGAACCTTGGTGGTGGGAAAATGTTCTGGAATCAGTTTGTAAAACACGTTCAGAATCCTCAACAATGAGCTATTGCTCTTTCTGAATGCTCTTGGATGCTAGTACAGTCAGTTGATCTGCTTGACTGACTCTTATCACTTTGAGTTGGATTAATTTGAATATATTATTTTTATCATACAGAAACCAGATAAAAATTGTGCCTTGAGCCAAATATTTCCTGGGTTAAGTAGCTACTCATCCTCAAATTCCTTACAGGGATTGTTTACAAATCTCCGAAAAGTCATGTGCAGAAAAGCCTAAAATTTTTTACATTTTTTTTTTTTTTACAATTTCAAAATAAAGCTTCAAATGTTTTTTTTTTGTTTGTTTTGTTTTTTTTTTTTGTAAAAGCAGAAGTACTGATGAACAAGACTATACAAAAATCAGGCTACGAAGAACAGAGAGTCGTCTGAAATCGTAGTCAACGGTGTTTTGAGCTGCGGCATGCCAGGCGTTAACGTTCATGCAGTCGGCAAAGAATTAAGTGCTGAGAGAGTGAATCTGTCTATCCTACCTGAAAAAGGTGTGGTGCTCTATGCAGACCTTCCACAATCGCTTCGAGGCCCGGTGGTTGGGCAACTTGAAGCCTATGGTGCTCTCAAACTGTTCGTACTGAGTGGTGAGGGAGATAAGTGGAGGAGGTGAAGACAGTGGGGACGGAGGGAGGTGAAGAAGAAAAGGAGAGTGAGGGAACCAGGTGTGTGGAAAGGTGGAAGAATGGCAGCCGGATGAATTGTGTTTACTCCACAGCAATGGAAAAATCAATCTTTTTCTCCTTTTTTTTTATTTACTCGTGCAACTGTATTCGCTTGTCTCTCGGCGCAATGCCATCTAAAGCCAGCTTATAAATCACCCATTTATGCATCCAGCACTGAGGTTCACTGGCGTGCAGAGAAGAAGATACTGTCAAATCAATAGTTATTAGCAATAACGGGTCTTCAAAGGCTGAGAGATATCCATTCACGTGAGAAGGTCACCTTTTTTTCCATGCAAAAAATAAATAAATAAATCAGCAGGGACAGCCTTGAATAAAAATTCCTTCATATACAAAAAAAATAAATAAATCCTCAAGGCACAGTTGAAGTGACAGCCGACTTAAGAGGATAGATGTGAAGAAAAAGTGAATGTATAAAATGGCCCTGGTTTTCACCGCAAGGATGTCAGTAGCAGATTAACAGTGGGGAAAAAGAAGTCAGGAGTGTCCTAAAAGGCCAAGGCGTGAAGGAAAATCATAATAACTTAAGTGAGCTTAATGGGGGAAACTCTGATGACTCCAAAACCTAATTACATTTAAAGTTATAGGAAGAAAAACAAGACACGACTACTCCATCTTCACAGAGGAAGCTCTAAAGGAGATAAATAATGCCCTCAGTGGTTAAGGTGGTTTGTGCCAGATAAATCACAGAAGCAACCATAAAATGAGTGTTTATGCTGCTTGGCACCAGTCAAGAAGAGCAATGATGCAATCGTAACAACTGTGAACCCATAAAATAAAAAAAAATAAATAAATACATAAATGATCTTGGCTCTTTGCCTGATGATCTCTCCATCCACAAGCTTTGCATCAGTGTCTGTGGTTTATTTTAGGGGGTAAGGGGGGATTATTGTGAGTCTGGGCATGCAGTAATGGTGTAGTGAACTCTGGTTAAACCACAGAAATGTGGAGATGAAAAAACAAAATTATTCATAGATTTGTTTACCTCTCCGGGACGGATTTTGATGTAGAAGTTGCTTCTTTTGTAAGAAATCTTGAGAATTTTCGGCCAGGCGAAGCGATTGATCCTCAGGCGGTCTCTGTAGATAAGCAGCCCGTTTGCGCTAACGCCGAGCATTATGTCTATTCCCTCAGAATCCTGGGGAAGGTAGATAGATTGTCAAAGAAGATCAAAAAAAGAATGTCATAGGATGCAGGAGTTCAGCAGGGAAAATGAGAGAAATCTCCTCCTGCCTTTGCATGATGCAGATCCACTCCGTACATCGAGAGCTTCTTAGCATTTTCAAGGAAGTTCATCTCTGCTTCTGCTGGAGTCATGCCCCTGTGGAATAAATCCCAAAAGAGGATCGCTTATTTCTCATCTCCTCAAACTCACTCCTCAGATCCAAACACTTTAATCATGGTGGCAATCGCAGCTTTATTTTTCTGACCTGTAGTTACGGTGCAACTCCATCACTCTCTCCTCCAGCTCTCGCGTCTGGTTTGGAGCAAAGTGGAATTCGCTGACGTAGTCCGGTCCGTGTTCCTCGGGGTCGTAGTCTCCCAGTTCGGCCTGGACGGTGTAGGAGCCCAGCAGTGCGTGTGTGACAAACGAGCATGGGAGACGGCCGGAAAGGATGTCGTCTCTCAGTTGCAGACACAGGTAGTACCTTATAGCCAGCAGGGCAGGTAAAATAAAAGCTTCAGAAACCACTTTGTTCTAAACAAATGATCAAAGCTATAAGAATCAGCAACTTGATTTTAGTTGATCTGGAATGAGAATGCGAGGGCTTTGTGTGGCACTAGGGAAACTAGGGCTGGTCAGCAAACAGAAATGAGGCACATAAACATTTTACATCTTTTCAATATGTGCAAGATATCAAAGTGATGCAAACATTTTGCTCTAAAGCTCACACCCGCATACCCGTCTGTCTGTAAGAGGCAGATATCTCAATGTGGCTCATTAGTAAAAAATTTTATTATTTCTTTGACTTCCATCTGTTTCTTTTGAAGGTCTGTGGGAGTTAATTTACCAGTAACTACTGAGCTGTGAGGCAACTTTATGTTATGCAAAAAAATGCAAATGAATTGATGATGAAATAAGTAAACAGCATGATCCCCCCTAAAACAAAACAAAAAATGAAAAAATCAAGGCAGTATAATTTTTAGCATCAACAAACTTCAATGTAAGACAAGAGAGTTACTATATCCAAACACGAAATGCTAGATTTCTGATTTGCCCTAAAAAGGTGGTTTAACTGATTATGTAGCATACATCTTACAAGTCATTATGTTTCTGCATAATGAGAGAGCCCCGAAACTGTGACTCATAGTAAAACCAAAATCTAAAGAGCAGATGGCTCATCACATAGCTACATTCTGGCCCAGGGGAAAGTTGCTGTAGTGAGGAGATTTTGGGGCGCTTCATCTAATTCAGACTCCTTTGAAATTGAAATAATTTCGAGGAATAATGTCTTAAATTCCATCTATTTTTCAGAGATGATTCAGAGTCGATCCAGGAATGCGACACCTGCCTCAAGGAAAAAGCAAGTAGATGTAAATATTGATGTGTTTTTTTCTGTTAATTAGATGTTAATTATGTTATGATGAGTTTGGGAAAAAGTAAAAGTAAGCCTCTCCCTGTTCAACTGTGACTGCAGTCTGGAGCTGGCTCAGTTGGCTGACCACAAAAGTGGTCCCCAGACTTTTGATTCCAGCTGCCTCCACAACTTTTCCCAATTTAAATTAGGATTAGCTATTATAATCAGTGTTGCACAATATAACGCATTTTAATCATAACTGCAAAACCAGTGTGTGGACTAGTCATATCACAAAGGACTGCAATAATAGTTGGCCAGATATGCCAAGATTCAAGCCTGCATTTTTCATGCTAATGCAATATTTAGGCAGTTGACCGAGTTTATTGGCAGTGGATGCTCACTGGCATGTCGCCTTTAATGTTGAAGGTCACAGAGTGGAGCAAAGACGAATAAGAGAGAAAAACTATTGGCCTATAACACAACTGGTATTTACCAATATGCCAACACAAGATTTTTCATTATCACAGCCTTATTTATATTTCAGAAATAAGCCAAGTTCTTCCTTTCCCTTCAACTTCTCTGATAAAAGCCCTGAAGTTCAAAGATTTGCTTCGATGCTAGTAAAGATCGAATGATTTAAAATGTGTTCCTATTTTTGCTAAATACACAAATCTCGTCTGCATGTGTTTGGATTGCCATCAGTTTACAAAGTTTTAGTGACATGTCTGGTTTTCTGGAAAATCAAAGAGTCCACTTTTTAGATTAATTTTGAGAAGTTGTGAGACGATATAAGATCAAGTGGCGAACAACTTTTAACATAATCCACACTCATTTCTATTTTAGTAAGTCTTTTTCACTTGATGTTACACAAGAACATCCCAGGCCACGTAAACTTTCATAATTGTGCCCATAAATACAGGTAGACAAAAATGCTCTGACATCAAACTTCAGAAGAAACTGAAATACTACTGACAGAAGTAGGACACAAGCTTGATGAGCTGTAACAAAACAAAGAGCCTGAAAACTTATGTGAAAAATATTTCAGGAAGTCTAAATACAAAAAAAATCTCTGGGCTGGACTAAAACCTGATCTACTCCTTTGTCATTTAGTTGGATAAAGTAGGTGGAAGAAGACAAAAGTCTTCCTCGTCATGCGAAGTTAAACATACCACTGTTTCCCAGCAACTGTGCACAGATAAGGCAGCTTATCAAACTGGTAAAAGTAGCAGCAAAAAAATGTGTCTATGTCACTTCAGGCAAAACATTTTTTTTTTTTTAAGCATATCAACCACTATCAAATCCTCGACTCTTATCTTAGCACAAAGGTGCATTGGCAAGAAGGATAACTGCAAAATGATTGTCAAGAAGAATGTATTCAAAAACTTGCTTGAGCTTCACAAGTGAACTGAAAAAGTATTAAACTTCAGTCGTACCACAGGCTGATCAACTCCTCGCCACTCCACATTGATGCAGTAACTCATGCAATTGGAGGCCCAACCAAGCAGTGAGTGCATCAACATGAACATGTTTTTCAGATTCCTGATATCTCTGTTGAGAATATTCTAGAGCTTAAATAATTTCTGTTGCATTAAAATTTTCTGAGACCTGAAATTTGTTTTTTTATTTTATATATATATATATATATATATATATATATATATATATATACAATGGTGAACTTTCACTTTCTGAAAAGAAAGTGAAAGACAGAGCAAGAGAAAATATCAAACTTTTTCACATCATTGAAAATTTCTGAGCTGTACTTGTCTAAAAACTAAAAAACATTTTTTTCAGAGAGCTTCAATGCATTCAAAGAACAATCGCTTAGCAAAGGCAAATACACTTCCAACCTACCTTGTGATGTCTTCAATCAGAACAGATGGGTCCGGAGGATAAAACTTAACGGCAAACCCAAAGGTCCACGAACCAACTGTGGAGAAACCAGCAGCAGATATATATTTATGAAGATATCTGCTCTTGAACACAATGCGTGCACATTTTGATGTATTTGCATATCTGAACGGCATTTTCACAACACTTACCCCGAATTTGCTTCTTAATCTCTTTGGATGGATCCAGCCAGTTCTGATAAGTACAGAAAAGACTTAACAAATGTGACCCACCCAGATTCATCCATATTCATAGAGCTCCCTCACTGTTGCTCCCTTTTAAAATATGTCTCCCTTGTTGAAAGCTCTATACATTAATGCTCGAGATTTGATAAAGACTTCTATCGTCATGGAAAGTGCCAATACTTGGACTAAAAACGTAAGCCGATTTCAATTTTGTCACTTCGCTATCTCACTGAGGCTTTTATGCTGCGCTGCTGATCCTGAGCAGTTTTTTTTTTTAAACGCCAAGCTGCCTGATCACATTTTAAAACATGAAAGGTCATGTGTGTCACACTAGCAGCCCATTGTTGTTAAAAGAGCTGTGGGGTCTTAGTGCTCTAATACTGGACAAATGAGACAGGTGAGCTAGTCAGTTTAAAAGGCTAGAAAGAAGATAACTTTTATTAACAAAATATTTGTTATAAAGGAAAAACAATCATCTAACGCACCTGGTGCTTAATTCAATTCCGAGTTTATATCATAGAGTTTGTAGCAAAATGAAACTATGAAAATATTTTTCAGTTGTTATAAAAAATGCAGTATATATCAGATATGTCTAAAATTGACTTTGACGGCTTGAAATTTGCCCGTCTTGTTTAGAAGCTCCTGCTCTTTCCGACACTCTTCCTTCAGCATGCCATCAGAGGAATGCTTCTCCATGTTACCATTTTAAGAGCATTTGACTGAGAAGTTCTGTGTATGAAAAGGTCAGCAGGTTCACAGTTCCACTAGGTGTTTGCCAATTACTGCTGCCGCCAGTCTGGTGGAGATCAGTGGGAGTTTAGGCAACTCCGAATGGTTGTCATAGGAAATTCAAGAATTTTTCGAACGTGCATAAAATAATCAAAGCAACATTTCAGGTACCCTTGAACATTACAATATGATAGAAATATCAAAAAAGTCGATTTTATATTATACACTCCCCCAACCCACCCTTTGACAGGTTTAAGTTGTTACAGCTTTTATACATTAAGGTTTTATTTTTTTTATTTTTTATTTTTTTTTGCATACGTTTATATTTATGTTTCTGTGTCATACCTTAGAACTATCAGAGTCAATGAAAGTCAGACCAAAGTAGTCTCTCTCCAGCAGGTTCAGATGGCCACACACCATGTCCAGCAGAGTCTGGCCCTTGGCAAATTTCTTTTAAAAACAGGAAAAGGAGCAAAGACCAAAAGGCTGAAATTACGGGTTTGCAAATACTACATATTCAGCAGAGAGTTTGTGACGCATATCCCATGTAGTTTTTCCTCACTACGTCCCCATAATACAGCATATTAATGACAAACTGTTGCACATTAAAGGCATTTGTAAATCAGTTGGATATTATGTAAGCAGAAACAAACAAACTTTACAATTCTTACAGAATCAATAAGTATTGTAGACGCAACATAATTCTATTCACTGAAAATCTTGTTACTCAGGTTTCGTTTGAAAATTTTGCTGTAGTTTCTAAGAAAATTTGCACCACAAGAATTATATATTATGTGCATCAATAAAAACAAACAACAAAAAAACACTCTATCGCAGCCTTTTGTATAAATATTATTTCACCTCCTGTTAAGTTAATCAGAATTTACCCCAAACTATTATACTTTAAGGTACAAACTGTTATTCTGTTGAACTTAAAGTATTCACTTTGCAGATTAATAATGATGACAATTATATTACAAGATTATATATATACAAGATTTCATATCCCACTGTTTCCTCCCACTGTGTACGTTAAATGTGAAAAAGTGGTGGTGAACAACAGTTATACTAATCCCAATTAACCTGCTTATTTTTTCATTCTTTAATTGTTTCTATATTCTATAAGCTTTCAAACATCCACATTTGATCATTTTTTATATACAAATTTAGATACTTATTGTATATAATAATTATTGTGTGCCTCATGTGCCTACTTCCATTTTATTTTAATCACTTATCCTGTACGTGTGCATGAGATTTCTATTCTCCCATAGTTTGGTTATCTTTAATGCTTTTTTTATTTATTTATTTATTTTTTTTTATTATTTACATGACATGTAATCATGTCAACATGATGCTTTAAGACATCATGAGTTAAAATAAGGGTTAAAATAAGGTCAGACCTGGTCAGATGGATGGAATAGTTGTACACTAAACCAGGTAAACATTTCTAAACACGAACAATTAAAGTAAAATTGAAATTAAAATTAAAATTGAAAAAAAAAAAAAAAACTGTTGGAAATTATGCGTCTGATTATTTCCACTTAGATCTTTATTAGGTCAAATATGAAAATTAGCTTCGTCACCGATCCACTCCAATCTACTCCGACTGTGCTTGGAGTCCGACTTCCTCCCTGCGGAGTTGTAGCAGCAAGTGGCCGGGCCTCTATGACCATATAAGGGTTGAAAGAGCATTTTATGTCTTGAGGCGTTGGAACAGACCACACCCATCTTACATCAGGCTCTTCAGGGCTGAAATGAAGGCCTGCGTGGGTTGAGCAAGCAGAGCTGGCACAGACAAACACACGCACACACACACACACACACACACACACACACACACACACACACACACACACACACACACACACACCAGACTGATCTCCAAGGGAGACCTGGCTCTTACGGCGACAAGGCAACCAAGCAGTTGTTACCATGGAAACAGGAGTAATAGGTCCCCTTCGCCCTCTCACTTCCTCCATCTCCTTTTACTACGAGGCCAATGCTAACCTTTGTTGTGAGAAAAGCTGGAATTACAGTGAGCATAACCTTAAAAGATGCAAGTAGGATGAATAACTGAGCTGTGCAGAGTAATTTGTCTCTGTCAGGAAAAAATAAATAAATAAATAAATAAATAAAAATTAGATTTTGCTGCATAGATGCTGCCGTGTGTGAGAACCAAAAGAGAATAATGCTGATTAACGGCCAAACGGTGCCGTCTGAGATTTTGTTGTGAGTGTGGCATTTTTCAGATCAAATTGAAATTGAGGCAAACATCTCGGGAGGAACTCCAAGCACAGGAACCAATTCAGGTACTGCAGATTAGATTTCGTCGTCACACCAATTGGATAAAATCACCTTTCTGCCACTAGTTTTTTTTGCTGTGATTATATTATCAGCTATTTAGTGTAATTCTAGAAATCCACCCACAGCCAGGGGCAGACAGGCAGAGGACAGGCAGTCAGCACGCGTTTAAGCAGTGCTACAGAAAAAGGAGTATTCCTCCTTTGATCAAAGCAAAAATTTTGATCAAAATGAAGTTAGTGTTGTTAAAATAACCCAATAAAAATCATACAGTTCCTCTGAGTATGTGCAGTGAAAAGTTTTTAGTTCAGAAAGTAAACTTTTTTCAATTTGTTTAACCAATGACAATTCTTCAAAACGCGTTTTTGAGGATGAACCCTGACATCTTGACTTTGTGTTTTGTTATTGTTAGGGAAATTATTGCACTTCTATTTACTCTTTGTTTACTCTTGGGATACATGTCCGATGTAGCACCACATATAAAAATGGCAAAAATAGGATTTTGGAGGCAGGAAAACATCAGAATGAGGCCATTATGATGGCCATTGAAAAGTTTAACATGCGTCACATTTGGGAGAAAAGGACATTTGACATATCCTCAGAAACTAAATGACAAAGTCTCCTAATTACATGAACATAAGGCAAGAATCTTACACAAGAGCAGTAGACTCATAAGATAATTCATTTATTACTATATATGCAATAGCTTCTACAGACAGCATTGACTTTTCATTTTTGTTATACATTCTGTATCAATTTTACAGTCGTGTTAGTTTTAATGCAAGCGCCATACGAGTAAACGTGATCAAGATTTGATCATTTCTGTTGTTGCCAAAACATTAAATTAAGAAACCTGGGGAACAGCAGCAAAAAGAAGAGAGTCCTTATAAAACACAATTGTTTTAGATAATCTAAAAATGACCTTGATTGATTCAGAACAAATGCTGGCAGCGCTCTATGGCACCTTCACGGTTGATCAGCATGATGTAAAATTATCTACAGCATGGCAAATTATAAATTGAGCTGTATAATGTAAGAGCTGAAGAGTGTGTTTTAGAAGTTAAACCTTTGAATCATGGGATGGACGTACAAAAATAAATAAATAATCTGCTTACTGAAATGTTTATCTGTTAAGAGGACACAGCAATTGTAATTAAAGTACAAAAGATTTCAAATAAGTGAGGTATGTTATGTAAATGTTGAAATAATTGCTTTAAAAAATAGCCTCAGGTAAATAACTGGACATAGTAATGCACTGACCACAGTCAATAGCTATAATGCTGTGTGCCAAATATCAATAAGGGGTTTAGCCTTCTTCCCCGCTCGCTTTTTATCATCCTTTCCAGCTTGCTCGGCGAACATTGCGACTCCAATTAAAGTAATGATTTCACTGCGTTTGCCATTCAGTTCCGGTTTGCTGATATTCCAAATCAAGCCACTCATCCATACCACAGCACACAAACAGGCACTCCCTGTTGTTTTCCCTCCTCCTCATCTTTCTCTCTACCTCCAAGTCCACCCTTCATCTTTTCCTCTTCCCCTCTCGTTCTATTTTCTCCCCCGGTCAAACATAAGAGCACTCATGGATCAACTGTATGGATTTTCTGTCACAGCCCACTACCTCAAGTGTCACTTCCCAGATGACCTACAGAAATGCGTGCGGATGTGTGTGTGTGTGTGTGCGTGCGTGCGTGTGTGTGTGTGTGTGCATATGGCTAAAATTCAGCAAATTATGGAGGCTGAGTTGAAGGAAAATGGTATTTGTGTATCATATGAGAGACCAGATGTGTGGCAGTATGCGATTAATGGAGTACAGTAGGGAATGGCGAAGATGAGGAACCAGCAAGCTCATCTGCAAGCACATTACGCTTCATCAACAGCTCCTGTCAATGGGGCTCCAGTTAAGGCTTTAAGAGTGAATCTGGCAGCTTTGTGAGGCATCCACAGGATCTTGAAAACACCCCCCTCCCCAAACCCCACATGGCATCCTGACATCCCTCACAATTCATTTCTGTTGACAAGATTCATTTTCTTCAGCTCTCAGTCACAACGAACATGTGGCTGGCTGTGAAATTCAAATAAACTGAAAGCAGAGAGTATGGTGAGCTGCAATCTCCCTGTTTAGACACAATGAGGCTATAGCATGGAGTCACGATTTATGGAAGCTTGGGATTGCTTAGTTAAGCTTTCCATCCCCCATATTCCAGTTGATGAGAACAGCAATGCTACAGCATTTTCATCCTCTGAATAACACTGCTCTGATCCTCAAGCTAAGGTTTCTGACACATGCACTTGCTTCTTATATGCCAGAGAGAACTGGACGTCATGACAGCTCAAATGCTACATATGCATCTTAATAAAATTACAAATTTAGAGACAAATACCTGAGAAAAATACTAAAATAAATGAAGGAGGAAAAGGCTTTCAAATTTAAAAACACCACACTAACTCTCAAATATGGTGGTGGAAGCATCATGTTCATGAATTCAGAAATTGATGGTGAGACTAGTGCACAAGAATGTCGGGACAATGAAAACTGTGGAGTACTTTCAAATTCTTCAACTAAAGATCAACCTAATGTTTTGATCAGGGATCTGCAACCTGTGGCTGCAGATCTCTGCAGGTGGATCTTTGAACCTTCCACAGTGGCTTGGAATAATTTTGCTAAAAAAGTGCAGAACCAACTTTTTTTTTTTTAAATTAGAGATATTACAAATACACAATCCAATGAATTTATACTACAGAATGACAAGTACAAGCCTTTTACCATGCTTAAGCATATTTAATGCTACTAAGACTCAAACTGGAACCGTGTTGTCAGATCATACTAAGCTTGAGCTTTAAGTGTGGTTGAGCAAAACAAAGAAATGTGTGGAAACACACATCGTGGTCTCAGTCGAGTGAACAAGCTTGTCCCGGTGTGTCGCCTACGGTTCCACAGAACACGTTGGGCTGCTGTGGTCTGACAGGCCCAAGCTGGGCTCGCTCTGGCGGGCTTACAACCCTTGACTTTCCTGGGGCAACCTCACCAAGTGGGTTAGGTGCCCTCCCTGGCACCTTGGTCGTTATGAGTTCCAGCTAGGAATAAAGTCTTGGGCCCCGGGCTTTGCCTCGAAGAGGGAGATGGTTAGGTGGTTAGGTCAGGCGTGTCAGAGCCTTATCTCCCAACCTGTGGTTCTTAAGCCAGGGAGCCAGTCCACCCCGGTGCATATTGCTGCCCTGGGGTGGTGCCTACACCTGACTGCCTGAGGCGGTCGCAGGCTTCTGGGACCTTGTCCACCTGTTCTCTGTTGCTCTCAGGTGTCGAGTGCTGCAGGCTTTCTACTGTTCTAACCACTCACCGCTCACTCACATACACACACTCAACCCAAAGACAGTTACTGCTACACAGATGGTCACACGCACATGCCCATGCACTGACGCACAAATAATCAAAATTGTTGAAGGTCATACAAACACATGTTAGTATTACAGTAAAGTGGTTGTCTACTGCAATACTAGATGCAGTCTTGATTTAATAAAAAAAAATTTACAATCCCGTCTATAGATATCCATTTTGTAGCATAAGACTGCCCCGGCACTAAATATCAATATCAAATAAAATGCCAAGGCAGGATGCATAAAAAAATAAAATTAAATTAAAAAAAAGATGAGCACACACACACACACACACACACACACACACACATTATAAGCCAAATTCAGAAACAGTCTGAAGATGTTGCAATACAACATATTTTCTCATCTGAAAGACCGTAATTATTTCATATCATTTTAGGATTTACAAGTGAAAGGTCAGTTGAGAAGATACATCAGCCCCGTTTTTTTCTCCTCTATCAGTTGTTTTTAAATCTGTTCCTTTTCTCCAAAATAAAAAATGCTTTGAATGGTTGGAAAAGCTTTTTATCCAGGCTCATCTTTTATCTGTAAGACAGCCTGCTGGTCAGTTTAACTGTGTTCAAGTTATGGTGGCTGTGTGTCTTGATAAGCAGTGAACCACCTCTGTGACACAGAAAATCTTCAAGTATCTCACAAAGCTTTAAATTCTGCTGCAATACAACAACGGTCGGTGACCTTAGATTTTAATCTGAGTCTTCACATAAGTGTTTCATTTAAGATTCCTGATCCAAGTAAGTGGATTATATCAGAAAATCCCCTAATCCTAACCCCACCCTTTGTAGAAGTTATTTTTTTAATTGATTTTTAAAAGAAAATGCATATATTAAGGTCAATGTCATGTCTAAATTAAGTGGGCAGCCATACCTCAACTGCAGTGTCGTACTCCGAGCCGTCAAGGAGAGTCACTTTGACAGGGACAGTCTTGAGCCGTTTGGTCGTTTTCTGGGGCGACCTGGACGCTTTGCTGGGGGTTTTCTCTGAGCTATCATCCAGTTCGCCCTGGTCCTCAGGAACCTGGGAGAGAGAAGACACACCTGAGAAAAACAACAGGGATCCAACACTATTCATCTAAATACAGTAACTTGAAAAAATATTTTTTACATCTTGAACTATTGAACATTTTGATGTACCACAACCATAATCTGGCTAGGTGTCTTCGTCGAATTTTATGTGACAGACCTACAGCTAAAAAAAATGTGTTGAAAACAATTGCACTGTACCCTTCAAATCGTGTTTTTTTTTTTTTTTACTTTATACTCATCCACCACATTGGTCTTTTGCATAAAATCCAAATTTTTGAAGTTAATGTGAAAAAACTTCATGGGGAAATTAAATTTTGATTTGCATAAAGTGTTAAGTATTTCTCCCAGCAAACAATTTGGTCTTAGTCATAAAAGATGAATAGCAAACGCCTGGAAAGGTCAGCCACTGCTTTAAGATGCTAGTTATTGGCACTGACAGAAAGGGCGAGCTGTCTTGCATATCAACTAGAAAGCTGGAAGGGCCCTAAGTGATTGAGACGACTACAGCTGCCGTGAGTTAGACAATGCGCCCACCTGATTGGTCCTCCTGGCGTCACCCTCCATTGCCGTCTTCATCTCCCCTGCCAAAATCGCCTCCGTTGTCATAGAAATGGATTACAGCCCTGCGAACGCACAAACACATATAAAAAAAAACATAAACAGTCAACATCAACTCTTTTCCAGCGTCCCTAAAATCAGTGTGAAGCTTTTAGTGCTGTGGAAAGTCAAATCGTCCGACGAGCTCAATTAGACTCGAGACCCGTGAGCCAAATGCTTTCACATCAACAGACAGCTCAGTGAGTCTTGACTTCCACTGACATTTGGTGGTGGAATGACTCGCGGCAGAGACTATACCTGTAGCGACAACTGGTTCAATTTCCTCTACAGCCGACAGCTACTACTGGAGAGGCTTTAATTATCCCGTAACGCTATCTGGTATTGGTCTCCTAATATATCTGTGGTCATTGCATTGTGCGCCTAGCTAAAGTGTATAGCTCAGTCGGGCCTGGCTTGCAGCCTCCCACAGGAGCACTCAGCTTGAAGAGCGCTGGCTTCAGGACGCTCTTTTCTCTCGCTCGTAAAGGAGATAGCATAAATTACATCAGCCTGAGAGCCCTGCAGCAGCACACTGAGATAGAGAATGAAAGGAAGACCTAGAGGAAAGAGAGGACACCAGGAATGTGTCTAAGGATGAGACAAGAGAATAGAGGGAACAGCTTTAGTCGAAGAAGACGAGAGTTTAAGAAGCATAAGATTGTTGCGACACGCCGGAAAGGAGGAGACGGAGGCGGCTTATCATTGAAGGTGACCAGACTCTTGGACAGCAGTGTTGCTCCAGGTTACACGCAAAAAAAAAAAAAAAAAAAAAAGGCTGATATTCAGAATCGCTTTTATGGGCCAAAGAAATGAATTATGCCAGATAAAGGGCCAAAACAAATTTAGCATTTCAACAAAAGGTGAAGAAAGGGTCACGGGCTTTAGGGAGTTTTTAAATACTGCTGTGTGAAGATATTTTACATCTCAGAGATTCCCATTAAACTTAAATGCTTCCAATTGTCAAATTTGAACGTCACACACAGATAACCTAAATTGATACAACACATGGTTATGAAATGAGGATTTTATTAATAAAGGGAAAAGAGTCATCCAAACTAAACTGGCCCTGTGATAAAACACAAGAACACAAAAACGTGTCTGACGTTGACCAAAAAAACACTTTTAATGTCCCCAAGATGTTAAAAAAATGCATCCTGGGGACCGGAAACCTTGGTAGAATTGAAAAAAACATATGTTCTCTACTACAAAATAGTAAGGGATAATGTCCCGTCATTAGTGATCTCAAGCATGCTTGAGTATGCACCAGGAACTTGACCGAAAGCACAACAAAATAAAATCACTTCCAAATGGCTAAAAAAAAAGACAAATTGTGGTTTTGACATGGTCTATTCAAACTCCAGACTGAAATCTGATTCACTATAGAGCATCATTTTTAGAAGCTTATTGCTAAAAGTGTTAATTCTTAAAGAAAAAAAGTGGGTCAAAAGCCCTCCACAAAAATATAAAGGCTAAATACCAATTCTAGCAAATCACACCATGGCAGAGGAATGAGGAACAACCAGCTGTTAGCCATAGGGTGCTATTACTTGTTCACATAGGAACAGGATGGTTTTAGTATCTTTTTCTCTTAATATAACATTATTTAAAAAAGTGAAAACAAAACAATTTAAGTACTTTACCCTACGTTTGCTAGTAGAAATGTTTCAAGTCGAACAATATATCTCAACATTTAGAAATTCTTCATATTTGTAACATCTTGTTACAAACATCAAACTTTGGTGCTCCATTATTCCTACAGTACATGTTTGTTCTGGTAAGCTCAAGTTTCCTCATCATTACCTAAATATTTATTAAAGGCATGAAAAGGAACCATGACTAATTACACTTAATCTTCTTAAATGACTGGTTCCTGCTAAAACATTTTGTTAAGCAACATAAATTTTCTGCATCAGTGTGCATCATTAGTTTACAGTCAACGATGATGTAAAGTGGCCACCCACTAGTTGTCTTTTCCATAATGTCCCAACTTTTCCACTCCAGCCAGTGGGAAAGATATCAATTAGGAGTCATGCAGCGCTTCTTTTAGCTGGAGCTCCCAGTGTGAGTGCGACACAATAAGTAAAGCTCGGCTTCACACCTGGTCCACGTGACAGAATTTTCAAAGAAAAGCCGTACAACCACATTATTTTTCAATCAAGCCTGACAAATGTGTCAGCGGGTTATGTTTTAAAGCGCTGGGTAAGTTTACAGTTTTTGTTGACACACACTGCCATCGCATGTACAGGCACGTCTCAGAGAATGAAAATGTTGGGAAGTAATTTCAAATTTTTGTCACTAAATTGAGAAAGTGAAACTCAAACTTTATATTTCCTGTACACGTTGAGTTAAAGATTTCAAGCTTTTATGTTTTATAATTTTCAGAGTTATGGCAAACGAATAGTAAAAATCCAAAATTCGGTCACAAAATTAGAATATTACACCATTTTTAAAAAATTATTTTGTGTATTATGCATACACCATCATGGGGAGGACTGCTGACTTGACAAATATCAAGAATGAGGATAAGGCTTTGAAGGTAATTGTAAGGTAAGTAGGTTGTTCACATTCAGTCATATCCACAGAAAGTTGAGTGAAAGGAAAAAGTGCAACAGGAATAACCCAAAGGACTATCATATAAAATTATGTATCTTGATAGAGTCATCAAGCTACATTATGTACAAAGTCTGCATAAAAGAAAATCTGAACTTAAATTTTAGGTGCAGTTCAAATCAAAAGTAGTGGATGGTAAAAAAAAAAAACAACAACTTTCAAATAAACATTTCAGAGAAGAGACAAATAGGGTAAATAATTAGATTTATATAATGGCCAGTAAGAGTTTGTCAACAATAACACAGCATGGTATTTTTTTTTCTTAAAGAGGATGCCCCAATTAAAATATTTTTTCATTAACCTGTTTTTGTTTGTTTGTTTGTAGTTTACAGGGCTGTAGCACAGCGTGCCTTTACTTTCATGATGAATCAGTTTTTAGTTTGCTACATCAAAGCTGAGAGCGCTCTGGCTCCTGAAAGGCAGCAGATGCCACTCTTCAGATTTCCTTCGCAACTTTAAAGAGCCTGTTTGATTAATTTATTTTTGGAATAACATAATTAGCTGCAAATCACTATGATTCTTACAAATGAAAGTCGGTTCCACACAGAGATTTAGAACATTTCTGATGCCGATTACAGAACCCCCCTTTTTTTTCTGAAGACTGATATATTTAGGAAATGGGGAAGCAACAAGCCAACATTAAGACCGAACATTGAGAAAGTGCCATGTTTATTTATTTATGTGAGACTGAGTCAGTGGTCAACAGTCTGTGAACATATTTTCCAAGTCCCTCAAATGATTCTCACTTAGATCCGAGTCTGGACTTTAACTGGTTCATTCTAACTTGACTATGCTTTCATCTAAACCCTTCCATTGTTGCTCTGACTCAATGTTTCGGGTCATTGTTTTCGAAGCTCCAGCCCAGAGCGTCAAATGGTCCACTTTGCCCTGCATTTACCTCAGTCCATCGTTTTTGACACTGACGAGGGCTTCTCAGTCCTGCTAAGGTAAAGCATTATCACAGCATGATACTGCCACCCCCATGTTTGACAGTGGTAATGGTCTCTTCAAGGTGTTGTGTCAGTTACCCATCACCCATTTAAAAAAAGCCAGAGAAAAATCTAAATTCTGAAGGGATTGAAACGCGCAGTTTACCAATTAAATGGTTTTTGTAGCCAATTGGTTGCATTCAATGTTGTGCCGATTCACCACATATCAATAAAAAAACTTAAAAAAATTATTTATGCAAAGCACTGAATATAAAATGGCAAAAATGTGGTGAGTGGCAGAGGCAATGAGTGTAAATTTCAAGTCCATTGTTTAATCGTGACACTTATCTTCGATCTCAACTCTGAACTCTTTACAAGTGGTATAGATATTTTCACTGTAAGACAAGCTTTCATTGTCAACCTCAATGGAGCAGCTGCCAGAACAATGCGCCTGTGAATCTCAACGAGACTCGAGTAAAACCGTCATGACTTCAGAGCTCTCGTTTCACACGTGTCGCAACTGCAAAGTTAATTAATTATTTTATTTTGGGGCCCCTTTATGAGTCAGTCACCGCAGGTCAGTTCTGGTCTCTGCGCAATTAATCGTCTGTGTGAGAGTTAATGGAGTCTGAGACGTGTGAGGTGCCGAAACTCAAAACCCTGGCAACAATCGGGTTCCCGTTAAAAAGGTCTTCTACTGCTAAATTAGCTGGGTTTTCATTTTTGATGACAGTTCTAAATCAGAGATCTGTGATTTGTGAGGTGTTAAAAAGACTTTTAAAAAAAACATCAATCTAGCATGGGAAAGAGTTAAACATGAATAAATTAAGCAGCAAGAGCAGAACCTAGCCTAGTTTACAAAAAGGTTAATGACAGCAGTGCCTTACCCAGTCAAAGCTAACAGACTGTAAACATTACAGTTTGACCCATTGAGACAATGAGCGGACATTGAACCTCACGCCTTCCAGCTTTTGTGGCTCCTGTTCGTTTTATTAGGCTTTTGAGAAAATTAAGAAATTCTCCTCAGACAGACACTGGCCAAGCTAGAAAAGCTAAGCTAAAATTTTCAGATGATAGGATTCTAACAAAGATAGGATAAATGAACAGAGCACTCCAACTGTTTCGGTTTTTCAATGTTTTCTGTGAAGCTGATTTTTAACCATCATTAGAAGGCAATGCACCAGTTAATAGTCTTGGCCACTTTATTAGGTACATGCAAATCATCTAATCACACAGCAGCAACTCAACAAATTTAGGCTCCTAGTTGCAGGTACAGACCACACGACCATTAGAATACAGCGGATAAGTAGATCAAATAATCAAATCATTACAACCAAAGTATGTGCAATGCACCCGTGAATGCATAATGTGTCCAGCCTTGAATCAGATGGACTTGGGTTTTCATGTTTTGCACTGAATGTTGGTGTTTTGAGAAAATGGCTAACATATTTCAAAGCATTATAATTTCACTCCACAGAATAAATATG